AAAAAACTAAAAAGATGGGACGATTCCCCCGAGACATTCTATGAAGCTGAGGCGTCGAATCGGCTTACGTTACGGTTAGAGATTTCGGCTCTTCCACGCTATCCCGAGTGAACATAAAACTTAGTCTTAACCAAAAGGCCAGGGAGTGAGGGGGTAGCCGCCCACTAGAGCATACCTTTAGCTACCCTCTTAGACCATCGTACTATGAAGACACTTATAGATTTCTAATATCTAATGGGGGTAGTCTATTCAGCGAAGTTCTATGCTAATATATGACGTCACCAAAGTCCTTAGGGAGAAGCGTGCCAGTCAGAGCTCAGCTCAGGAATTAGCAAACGAAACAGGGTTTTGCAAAATCATTTTTTGATGGGGGTGGGGACGATGGGTGCTGAGTGCTTGAATTGTTTGCGGCCGAATACCGATGTACTTGGTGTAATGTGACGGTTTTGTTTTCCAAATCATCATAGCAAAAGTCGTACAGTTCTTATATCAGACAGAAATTACTGAGTATTCGGATAAACAGCACAACAAAAATCTCTTGAAATTCTTAACATAAGTGTTTTACAGACCAAGCAGATACTAGCTGTTGCCATTTAAAATTTGCCGGGATTAAGCGGARCACAATTGAAGCAGCTCTGAAGCCCCAACATTACACTCGGACGTTTCACATTTTCGTTCTTTATGATATAAAAGTTCACAAATGGATTGATATTGATTATCGAATTTTATTGAATCTAAATTTAGTGAATGTTAACAATTTAAAAGGATGAATGACAATTCGTATAAAATTGATAAAGAAATGAAGAAAAACATAGCAATCTTTCAGGGTTTTACAGCGAAACTATAATCAGGCGAATGAGAGTAATTATAGATGTAAAAATACAGTTTAAATAATTAATTTTTTCGAAGAAAACGTTCGAGAATTTATCATGAGTTTATAACTCAACAGATACAAAAGGGTGTCTTTGACTACAGCTAAATTGCAGCTCTAAGGACTCCATGTCGTGGATAAAAATTCCTTTTCCAATTCTTTCAGACGGATATGTTTATTAGGTAAGGAAACAGGGCGCCCCGCGTCAACCCCCAAGGGAGGAATGATCAACCATAAGAAAGGTTCCTAGTGGCCACTGGGAATCGCCGACAGATGTGTATTTATAGGTAATTGGTCGGTCAGTGATCAACACTTGATCCTTACAGTGTCTGTACAGCTAATTCAGAAAACGTTGAATGGTGAAGATCATATTACAGTGTATATCATGAGCGAAATGCATTGTGTGTCTTTCTATCACCGTTCAAAAGGAGTTTTCATGTTTTCAGAGTGACTTCAAGAGCTTCCAAGGAAAGCAATTAAATTTAAAATTGCCACTTTGTAACGCAGCTAAACTCGAAGTTTACTAAGTCTCTTAATGGCTTGAGTCACATGTAGTCCTCGACTGCCTATTTTTATAGTTTTGACTGCTTCTTTATATATTAGTGATCAATAAGAACAAAAGGTTCTTTAAAATGTTTTTGTAAACCTTCAGTCTAACAGAGATAATTCACAAAATCGCACATTGCACATGCGCTATAGGATACACATGTTTCAATCCCATACGTTTGAGAGTATTTTTTAACAAATGGAATGTCTGTGAACCAGGTTGAAGTCAGCTTTGCGCAGTGGCATTACCGTAGCCA